GGGCGGCTACGAGGAGCTCGAGCGCGTCGTGCTGCGCCTCAAGCCGCACAAGGCCGGCGTGCAGTGGCGCTTCGCCGGCTCCTTCTACTTCGCCATCACCGTCATCACCACCATCGGTAACTACTCGCCGGGAGGGGGGTTGGGCGCCGGTTCCCAGGGTTGTCCGGAGCTGGCTGGGGCTGGGGGGATCTCCCAGAGAGGGGCTGGGCGTCTAGCCCCGCGCCCCCACAAACCCAAGCTCAGCCTGGCGTATCTGCTCCGCGGGGACGGAACTCGGGGAGGCGTCGGTTCCTGGCTCTGGACCTGACGCTCGGCCGGCTGGGCCAGCCCTAACTTGGCCGTGCCAGGCTGCGGAGGCCCCCAGGGAACTCTGAAGTGTGTGAGAGGGGCAGGAACGACCGGCTGGCGGAGGCTCAGGGAGGAGGGGTGTGGCCGGGCCAGGCCCTGGAGCCCGGTGCTGAGTGTGAGCCGCGGGAGAGCGCAGCTCCTTGGTGTCCCTGCGGATGGACTTCCACACCCCCGCGTGTCTACACCTGCTAGGCTCCTGGGAGGCGTGTGGATGCCGGTAGGCGGCACTTAGCGGCACTCTGGGCCACTCTGGATGCCTAAAACACTCTATAACTGCGTGTATGAGTGCTGCTTGGGATGTGTGTATGTGTGTTTGTGTGTCTGTCTGTGTGTCCAGCTCCAGGAGATTGGTCACCACCAGCCAATGCCTGTAATTTTCTTAGGGAAGCAGAGCTGGTGCTGGAAGCCAGATCCAGCCCCGTCAGCCTTCTCCACTGTCCCAGCAAAATAGTCACCTCGGGAATGGCGCCAGTTCCCTTTACCAAGCCAGAGCAGATCACAATATAGAAGGCCACGCTCACACCCAGACTGACAACATAGAAATAGGCCCATACACACAGGTATACAAAGGCACATACAGGCATACACGGACACACACACACATACACACAGCCCACAAATGGATGTCCAGAAACGAACCTCCAGTCAGGACCTTCAAAAGTGTCCAGATGAGAGTAAACACCTTACCTGTTCCCAGCAGCCTAGGATTCCAGCCCAGCTCTTATCACTAACCTGCTATATGACCTTGGGCAAGTCCCTTCCCCTACCTGTGTCTCAGGCTCACCCCTAGATCAGAAGGGTTGGCTGGAATAATCTTACAGGCTCCTGCCAGCCCTCACTTGCTTGGATTCTAACACCTGAAAACCCACCTTCTCCCCAAACCCCTTTGGAATGCCTCTAGGAGCAGTTTCCTCCATCTTTTCCATTCCTTCTCCTCTCCCTGACACCCTCCTTGCCTTGCCTGAGCTCCCAGGGACTCCTTGCCACTGAGCATATCCTGTGACAAGATGGCAGTGTTTTCCTGGGAGTCAACAGGAGTCAAGGGGGGTACATGTAAAAGGCAGGACTGGACGCTATCCCTGGAGTCCATCCATTGCAGGACACAGTTCCAAGAATCTGCTTCTCTCTGGGGACCACAGGGAGCTATACTATGTCATTTCTGGATTCCTCTCTTAGAAGAGGGAGAAAAGGTCCCTGGGAGTAGATGTGGCCCAGCTAGGGACACCTCTGGGTCCTGCTGACCCAATGAGTTTAGGGTAGGATGGTCAGCCCCAGGACTGCCCAAAGAGGAGCCTGCTTACCTAAAAAGGACCAGACCAGGTTTGGTCTGAGGGATCTCCTCCCCTCTCACACCTTCCTGCCACCTGCCAGGGTTTCAGTAGCTATTCACCTGTCTGGAGAATCAGACTGAACATCCTTAGACTGTCCCTCTGCTTCCCACACATCGAGCTCTTGCTTAAGTGCTCTCTTTCCTTCTCAGTCCCATGGTCTCCAGGTCCATAGAAACCTCCCAATTGACCTCCTTGCCTCCAACCTTATTCCCCCAACAAGGCACACTCCCTTGGACAGTGCTGCCAGAAAGACCTTCCCAAAGCACAGCCCTCACCCTACCAATTTCCTTCTCAGAAGCCCCCAGTGACTCCCCCTGGCCCACAGAATCTGGTCCATGCGTCCCATCCCAAACTTGAAGAACATTCATGCCTGGCTACAGCATCTACGTCTGACTTCATTTCTCATTTCTTACTTAGATAATTGCTTTTGACAGCAGTCAAACTATCCCCTGAGAGCACCTTAGGTGTCCCTGTCTGGCATGCCTTTTTCTCCATCTTATATTTACCTTGTCCAAGCTAGCCTTCTAAGGCCAACTCAAATACCACCTCCTCCTCAAAACTTCCCAGGCCACTGCTCTGGGCAACTACATTTCTTGCCCTCAAGATGACCTGGCTAACATGGTGTAGGTTCTTTTGAATGGCTATTTACTTTGGGGGGAAGTGTTTTATCTCTTTAACCATGCTGTCCTTAACCTCCATGTGGGCAAGGCTCTGTGGTTGCCAGCACAGTACCCAGAGGCTGTGAGCACATGGAGGATGCTATTGATGGATTTAAGGTGTGCAGAAATGAACCGGCATTGTCCTTGCCTCCATCCCTGCTGTTTCCCAAAGTGCTTGAAGTTCTCACCAAGAGAGAGGCTAAAAGCTGGAGAGGCAGAGAGAATGCGGTTCTTGTGATTATTTATTTATAAAGTGCTGGGCAAGAGGAAAAACAGCATCAGACCACCACCCCAGTTCTGTGGGAGCTCAGACTGGCACTGCTCAGTCCCTTACCACTCAGCCATCCCTGCCTTTTTTGTCACCTTCTACTCAAGCTATGCCACCTAGCTGGAAGCTATCCACAGGGGCTCTGCTCTAAGAAAAACCTGTCTTAGAGCAACCAACCTATGATCAGTTGGTTGGAAGGGGCCCTGTGTTTGACAGATGTTAGGCTGATCCTGACTCAAACCCCAAGTTCAGGAGCCTCTGGCCACCTGATCGTTTGGGGAACATGAATGGGTCTCCTGAGACACCAACAGTCTCAGTGGGATGGAATAATGACAGAATCTCCCATTCATTTGGTATTTCAGTGATCACAATGCACTTTCATCTCATGTCTTGATTCTCAGTCTTCACAAGTGTGTGAAGTTGCCAGGGCAGGACTGTTAGCTCAGATGTATGGATGAAGGTGTGAAGGCTCAGGGACGGGAAGAGACTCCCTCAGAGTCACCCAGCTGGTGAGCAGCAGAGTCAGAGCGGGAAGCTGGATCTTCTGACTCCCAGCCCAAGGCTCCTTCCCTGCCTGTCTCTTGGCTGCTTCCTTTGCCTCCATATGCTGTGAAGCTCAGACCCTGCCAGGCCTGGCATAGCTAAGACATGCTCAGTGATGCCAGCTTCCAGGGCACTCATGGGCAGCCCTGATTGGTTGAAGGTGGGCAGGGTCTGACTTAGTCATTCACTTGGTTAGTCACAGTCTCCATGGACTGCAAGGATTCCTCCAGCTGCCTCCTCCCTGCTCTCCCAGCCAGGGAACTCTTCCTTTGTTGTGCCCTAAGTTCGCCAAACACAGACAGAAGGAAACTCTTTTCTTGGGAAACCTTAACCTTGTTAGCTGTTGAGTCATTGAACCTCTCTGGGGGCCCAGTCCCATCTAGTCATAGAGAGGCTATTAGAGCAGGAGAGGGCCTGGAGATCACCTGGTACCACCCTCTCTTACAAATCAGGAACCAGAAAGATGATGGAAATCACACAGGGGGTAGCAAAAACCTGCTTCCCAGGCCCCCACTCCACCATGTCCAGCATGCTTATTTATGATTTTTTCTAAGAACAGCAGCAATGGCAACAATAATAAATAATGGCAACTGCCATTTATTATCTACTCTTTGGCAGACTCTATATTGGACACTTCATTTGTATCCCCTCATTTAATTCTCTCACTGCCCCCTCAAGATGAGCATTATTAACCCTTTCAGATGAGGACCCAAAGGCTCTTGGTGTAAATGACCCATGGCCTCAGGGCTTGAAAGTGTGGTACCTGCCTGGATCTGATAGGACCTCTCTGGCTTCCATCCCCTGGCTTTATTATCAATTCTTTCTCTATTTCAAGAACCCAACCCTAATCCTAGTATCTCAGAGGCCCCAAGGAGCCAAGGCTGGGGAAAACGTAAAGCCCTCTTCAGAAGCAGAGAGCTAACCTGCTGTTCCCTGTACCCTGGCCCCTGACCAAACCAGACCGTGTGTCTGTGCTGTGCCCAGTACCAGGCCCTACCTGAGCCTGCCACGGGCTCCCAGGTGTTCATTCTCCCACTGCAGGTGCTAGGAATCCTTGCAGCTCTAAGGCAACAAGAGAGCAGGTGATCACCCAGCTCAGAGCTGGGGCAGGAAACCTGTCTTGCTCTTCCCTCAGCTTCTGGCCTGTCCTCAGCTGAGCATGTCCTCCCATCACCCCCTGCGAGGCCTGTACCTTTTATATCTTTCCAAGGAAGAAAGTACAAAGTGGCCTGCCACCCCCAAAATCCCAGAGTCCTAAAATAAAAGAGGGAGAGGAGACATTAGCAATCATCCAAATGCCCAGACAGGAGAGTGGCTTACCCATGGTCACACAGTGAGTTGAGAGTAAACCCTGATTAGAGCCCAAGCCTTTGGGTGGCCAGGCCAGAGCTCTCTACCTCATGCAACCTGCCCCCCTCACACCCCAGCAGCTCTATCAGCACTGAGGCATCTGGCAGCTCATCACTTCATTGTTCCAAGTCTTTTTGACTTATCAGAGAAAGGAGGGAGAGCCCGCCATGGAATACCCCATACCCCCACAGTCAGTGTTCCCCTCCCGCTGCCCACAGGCCAGCTCCTCTGCTTCAGCCCCACAAGCCTTTTCTTCAGGGCAGTGGAGGGACACAGGCACTGACTTGGAGGCCACAGTGCTGGGGTTCATCTTAATCTACCACTACCCCCTACCCTGCCACCAGCTATATGACCTTGGACAAGTTATCTAATCTCTCTGAGCTTGTTTTGTCATTTATAAAATGCAGATAATAATATCTGCCTCCCAGGATTAAATGGGATCTTGTAAAGAATGTGCCTGGTAGAGAGTAGGTACTTAATAATCTACAATTATCACTGTTATTAATATTATTGTTTGTGTATTATTACTTCCCCCACAGAGGGAACCACTCTGTCCACCACAGTTTACTATGACCTCAGCTACCTCTGCTCCTTCCTGGCAAGTAGGGACAGTGGGT